CAGCGCTGCTCTCCCGACCGCTCGGGGTGGGAAGGTGCGGTGGCTCCCCAGGCTGTGCTCTTGGCACCAGGCCTGTTGGTGTTCTTGTCCGGCTCCAGGTGAAAACCGCAGGCTGCAGATAGGATTAAAAGAAAAGAATTCAACTGCTACTCTTGCTGCAGTTTGGACACAAATCCAACACAGCAGCTCAGCTCTCTCCCACGTCCCTCCTCCTTTGCCAGTCCAGCACTTTCACACTGGAGCAAAGGGCCTCTCTGCAAAGAAACTGCTGGCTGGTTCATTTCTCCCGCTGTTTATTGACACAGGAAGAAAAACAAAAGAGGCTGGATCCCGAGTCTCTTTAAACATGCTAACTTTGCCATATTAATCCAAGACAACAAGTCTTGACCTCTGCACAGTATCACACAAATCACCATGGTTGCTGCTGTGTATGGTCACTGCTGAGGGTAAAATACAATCAGAGCCTATTCCCTGCCTCTAGAACTCACACTTGAGCACAGCTCTGTACTCTAAGGTCTTACATTTGCAGATTTCTTGTCTTTCCAGTATTGCTTTCAAAGAAAAACAAGGGAAGGCCAGCTGTGTGTAGCTAATGATGGAGTGTCTAAATCTTGGGAAGTCATAGGTCTTAGAAGTAAGATGAATTTGGAACTAATGTGATGTAGAACTTGTGCAACACAGAAAAGGGGATCACATACATGTGAATGTCTTGGATTGTTTCTTTCCCTTTTCATAGCACTGCGATAAATCGTTCCGTTTTCCAAGAATCTTTTCCACAGTCAGGCTTGCTCTTCTCAAGCTCTTTTCTTTACTGGACAGCTAGGTTGAGCTTCTGTCCCAAAATGTGCTGCCAATTGCAGCTTCTCTTGGCTTTCAACACAGTGTGTGCAGCAAGAACACACAATGCAGCAGTCCAGGAGAAATGGTTTGAGAATTTTACAAACTTGTCCTTTATTTTCCTTGTAGCCTAGAGAGCTGTGCCCTTGTTTTCATTTCAGATTTCAGGCTAGGTTTTCATTTAGACTATTGTGCCCAAAGGAAAATGGAGATAGCACCAGGAATTGTTAGGGAACACAGCCCTGGGTGAACTCAGAGATAGGAGCTCCAGAGCCTGCAGCCACAAAGGGAATCTTGGGCAATAATCATTCCAACACCTCAATGTACATCTTGAAAGTGATCTAGAAGGTAAAGTTGGTCTGACAGAGGTAGTTTGTTTCTGTGTTCCGTTTAGATGATTCTAGATGATTTTGTGCTTTGGTGCAGATCAAGTACAATCAGCTCATTTGAAGCACCAGAAGAAACATGACCTAACAGAGTAGACAACTGAAAGAATTTAAAGAGGAGCAATGCAGGGAATGACTTGGTTATCTTGGTCTGGAAGAAGGGGTGTCAGTTTAGAAGACAGGCTTCTACTAGGGAGGGCAGGAGCCTGCCTTGGAATGAAAAGGTCAGAGGTTTGAATGAAAACACCAGAGGCCTATGTCCAAAAGGGAGACAGAGGAGTCCTTTTACTTTATTTGAATAAAGGGAGAGGCCACGGGGCATTACCCTGGGGTCTCTCCATCCAATTCTTGGAGGATGCAGCCTCCTTTTTATCCTAAATTCACAGCCACATGTCCCTCTCTCTTTCCCCACTGGCTGACCTACTTGAGTGCTACAGACTGCCCGGAATGCCTAAGATTCCCCTGTAATGTACAACCCTTCCTCTTAACTTTTAATTCTCATGGAATTTATAGTGTTCCCCCACTGTCTCTTTCATCTTTCAATATCCAGTTTCATTTACCAACAAACCTACAGTTTGTTTGTAAAGGCAAATATCTTTTTCCATTCATCAACCAGTGGACTCCATCCCATTGCTTCTTTTATCTCTCAGTGCTAGTTTCATCTATCAGCACACCCACAGCTGGTTTGGAAAGACAAACCCAGCATTCCTCTCAGAAATGTAGACACCCTCCCTCCAAATTTCTATACTTTTGGAATCCAGGCGCTCTCAGGCAGAGATCTGGGGATAGGAGTAACAGTTCTTTACTAGTACATAGAACAAGGCAAACAAACAAACAATAACTACGGCATTAACAACAAATCAGAACCAGGGGCCCCGTGACAGCTTTCTCGGCTGAGACGGGAAGGGATGGAGGAGAGGCTTTGCTTCACAAACCCCCTCGGGCGGGCAGTGCCGGTGCTCCTGCAGGGCTCTGAGCAACACTCAGCTGGAACGGCCGGGATGAGCGGAGATCCCGGGCCGGTGGCTGAGGGCTATCAGCAGCTCTGCAGCGGTGGCTGGCACTGCCACACGTCCCGGCAGGACAGGGGTGCGAGGCCACCAACGAAGAGGGAAGAAGCAGCAGCAGCTCTGTCTGGGTGATGGCAAATTCCCTTCTCCTCACCGCAACATCTCCGAGAGAGAGAGAGTGTCCTGCTCTCCAGCCCAAGAAGCCAGCCAGCCCCCAGCTGTCCCCAGCCTCTTTTTTTCTTGCCCCCTTCCCCCCTGGACCCAGCCAAACTCTTTGTGTTTCTCAGGCACCCAAAAACTAGGAGCCATCAGGTTTTCCCCACAGCTAATGGGCAAAATATTCCATAGGTGAGAAGGAAAAAAAGGAAGGACACCCAACCCCCAACCGAAGGGTAACTTTTCTAAGACTTTCTAATACATTCCCAATGATTTTAACCTTCTGAACAAGTTCCTTTGCATCACAGGTTCACCAAGAAGTGAGAACCCTGAGCTTCTGTAACATAACATAGCCTCGTCTTCTGCAGTGACATGACAATCTGGGTGAAAGAGGAGTGAGGTGCCTGATCACTCTCTGCATGTGAAAGTTCAGATCGCAATTCCCAGGTGTCAGTGGCTGGGCTGAGGAGCCAGGTCATGGCAGGACTCCAGACCTCAGCATCTTCAGCCACAAAGGGCAAGTGCTGCCTGATCAGAAATCTGCACTGCACCACAGTTTTGCACTGGAGCAACCAAAGCTGTTGGCAGGGCTGTTTCTCCTAGCAGAGCTGGGCAGTGCTTTTGAGCCAGTAACCACAACCGGTGGGAGAACAAAGGGGCCTTTTCTGCCTCTCATGGACGCGCTAGGGCCACCTTCAGGGCAGAGCCTGGGCCCCCCCAAAGCAAAGCAGAGGGAAACGGTTGAAGAAGGCTTCCTTTCAAGCCTTGCTGGCTCTGGGCAGAGAAGGGACGCAAGTGACAGCACGAGCAGCAGGGCCCGATGCCGCTCGGTGCCTGCGGGGAGGGGCGGAGCAGCCGCCAGGGGGCGCCCGGGGCGGGGCGGGGCCCCTCTGTGAGGGGGGAGAGCCTCGGGCAGCTGCGGAGCAGCGCCAAGCCACAGACGGGCCCGGCCGTCCGTCTGTCCGGCCGTCCGCCCGCCCGCAACAGCGGCAGAGCTACGCACAGCGCCAGGGCAGCGCCCAGCTTCAGCGCAGCCTGACGAGCAAGGGAATCTTCCCGTGGAGGGCAGGCTGCAGGGCGCCTGATTGCCAGGCCTGCGCTGAGCCGGCACGGCCTGAGCCGGCTCGGCACAAAGCCTCCTCCAGCACCACTGCAGGCTCCTCTGCAGGCTCCCTGCAATGCCTTCGCTGACAGGGTCCAATCAGCCAGGCTGGACAGCTGCTGTCCAAACTGAAAAAAGACAAGACCCAAACCAGAAGGGAAGCATTGCTGCTTCCCAGGCTGAGCTCCTCACAGGCGGAGGAAGGATTCCTCTGCTTCCCAGAAAGATGCAGAAACGGGACATCAGGCCACTAGGTGCCCCTTACCTTTGTGGCCAGCACCTTGCCATTGCAGGCCAAGGTAGCTCACAAGCATATTTACTTCTTTACATCCACAGTCTTCAGCTTGTTGGGATTTTCCCCCCGAGAGCAGCCTGGGAATGCTGCTTGCTGTCACAGGGCTTCTTCCTTGCAGCAAACTCCAAAGACTCACTTGGCTACCTCCTTTCCAAAACATGGCCCGGGTCAATTGTCCAAATGATGAGCAGTGGAAGCTGTTCCTCAGCAAATGCCGGTCCTGCTAAGAAATGCTGATTCCAGTGGGATTTAGGTGGAAGCGGTGCTCTCCAGAGCACTGAAGTTCAGCGTTTCAGCACCAGGACAAGAGCGGGCAGCTTGGCAGGCCTCCAGCATCTCAAGCACTCAGCTGCTTTGCAAATTCCTCTGCTTCCAGAAGCCATGGGCTGAACTCCTGCTCTTGACCTGCAAGCCTTCTCCTGTTACCCGTGGCACTGGCGCCTCTTTGCTCCTTCGTGTGGCACGTTACAAGGAGGTCCAGAATGAAATGGCGGAGAATTCCACAGAACATGCACTTTGTATTGTTTCCCTGCTTGGTGCTTGCAGCTGTCCCCAGCAGACATGGAGTCTGCAGTTCTGTGAGCTATGCGGTCCAGCAAAGAAAAGACCAAGTCAGCTCAGGAAAGCCAGGATCAATCTATGCAGCTTCTGCAGACCAGAAATTGGAGTGAAGCAAATGACCGAAAAATGCAGTATACTATGCAGCACATATCCACCATGGGCAGCGTTGTAAACAAGGTCGATCACTTGTCCTTTCAAAAGTAAACTCGTTTATTTAAAAAACCCCAAGAACGGCCGAAGGCGAGGCCCTGGGATAAGCCCAGCAGCCTGCACCACCAAACTGGCTAACAAGCAACCTGGTACAGCCTGCATACCACCGCGGCTGTGTGCTCCTCAGGACTCGAGTTCCCTCGGAAGACCCTGGTGCTGGGCACCCCGGGGGTTTGAAAGTCTCTCACAGTGTGGGATTGGTGCGTTTTTCAATCCGCACTGTGATTGGTCTAAATATGGTCCGTTGATTGGTCGTTAAGATCGTGCAACCTCCACCAATCATTTTTGAAACTCGACACTCCATTGGTCCGTTCCTTCCGCCAATGAGGATCTAGAATGTTCCATTCTGTTCTGCCTTCATTACCCTCATCGCCCACTCCAGCGTTCAAAAGCGGCCAGCACATGTTTCTGTACAGCCGTACAATCACACACAACAAGCAAACATCATTAGAACTTTTACTTTCTTAACCAACCAGAGAATTGCGTGATTTATAACAGGCAGGAGAGAGATTTCCAAGCCACATCCATGGAGGAATCTGACCTCGCAGGTTTCCCACAAGCCAAAGGCAGTGGCTTTTTGCAAAGCTCCGTGCTGGACAGAGCTCTTTGTCAAGTGAAGGGCTGACCTGGGAGCCGGTGGGAGTGGAAATGCACCCGTGGGTGCACCCACACTGTGAGGGCTGCTCCAAGGGCATCCCCTGCCACGCACAGGACATGGGCACTGCCATACTGTCCCTGCCATACTGACAACACAAATGCTGCTCCAGTGTCATGCAAACACCTCT